CTTTCCTCTTGTCCCACTATCATGCTCAGTCTTCATTTGGGTTTCAGTAATTCCTCTTGGTTACATTACCCTTGATCACGCCCTACCAGGCCACCTACACCCTCCTCACCACCGATTTGGATCACTTGTTGTTCCCTTGTCCCTGGGTTTGTTAACACCACTACCTCAGAAACTCTTTACAGGTGACAGATTGCCTAAAAACCATGAGTGTTGTAATATGACATATTTATTTTTATATTAAAAATAACATAACATTATATAAAAATACATAAACCCATCATCTCAAAACACCATTACAACACCCGTTTTTGTGTTTGTATATTACTTGCAAAACTTTTGCCAAGGAATGCTGCTTATGTATTTTTTACTTCTATATGCAAATAAGTAATGCTTTCTGACATTTAGTCCATGTATATCATTGCCTTCTATATAAGGCAGTGACTTTAACAGGAAAACTTCTCACCACTGACCTGGAGGCACACACTTACCTACAAGAAGCCTTCTGAGTAGAATAGATGAATTCACATTTCCCATGGATGCAGTAACCATTGAGATTTTCAGGGCAAGACATATGGCTTCCAATATAAACATCTTCTCTTTGATCACTAGCATCTTAAAAGAACACAAACCAGGTCACTAAATAATGAAAAACAAATAGAAACATATGGACATCTTCAAGGTCCAGAGGCAGCAAATAAATTTATCACGGGTCAACTACCTGCTGGGTAACTTGAAAAGAAACATATTACATAAAATACTGGATAAGATTCAAGGGCCCTTTCAATTCCCATGATTCCACAAGCACAGCAGATTTATATTTAAGACATCCCAAAGCGTCTAAACACTTGAACAATCATTATCTGCAGCATGTGACCACTTTGAGCTACTCTTTCAAAAAACACTCTGCAAAGAAAACTTAACTTGGGGAAATAAATAAATCCTAGGTCTAGAAGGAAGAATACCTGGGTGGCAAGAAATGGCATCCAGAGCCTTAGCTGCGAGGGGAATTGACTGACTCTCATCGTTCATCTCAGGGCTATGAAATTGAGGTCAAAGAACACTGGATGGCACAGAGTTAGTGATAGGATCCTGAAATGCAGCAATGAAAAAGTGCCAGCATATTGATTTTTTTTCACAATAAGATAGCTTTCTTGTCCTTTTTATACAGGTAGCCATCTCTATCTCTTGGTACAGCTCTATTTTGAGGACTGTGTCCGTGTATGTAGCCTAGTTAGTAATTTTCATCTGCTAAAGACAGAGTTAAATGATAACTCATTGCCATCAAGTCTACTCTCCTTGTTTGTTGAAAAAATGAATTCTAATCTGCACTTGTTGATCTCATGTACTATACAAGTCTTTACAACTTAAAGTCCTTAACTAAGAGAAAAAAAGTTATATTTTTGTTGTTTTTCATTGACAAACGGAATTATCTAAAACCGGTTCTATCTGAATCCCCACTTAGTGAACAGTATGCTAGTCCTACCTGTGTTACATAATATAAGCTGAAGCTTAAATAACTAATACAAGGAGGCTTCAGAAGTTTTATGGGAAATGGAATGAAAAGATAATGGAATTTTTCCAAAAATTTTCAGACACAGCAAGCATCTTTTATTTACCAATATTGTGATCCAATAACAAGCGTTTCCTAGAGCCTTATGAGAAATACTTTAACAGAAATCAAATTTGCTTTGTAATCTATAGTTCTAAAGGAAAAAAAATGAGGATGTACATTTCGCATCAGTCCATACATGGCTTAAAGAAATGAACTGTCTCCCACAACACTCATTTCACTATAACTTCTCAGGATATGATATGCTCATGGTGCGACATATCAGGAAGGTAAAGAATGATAAGACTATAGAGGCTAATCACAAGGTTGGAGGTTCAGACCTACCGCCGCTCCAAGGCACGAAGATGAGGCTGTCTGCTCCTGTTAAGATTTACAGCCTCAAAAAAAAAAAAAGATTTACACCCTCTGCATGGTTTCTTTGAGTCCCAATCAACTTGATGGCAGTGGTTTGGTATCGTGCATGCAGTCACAGACACGGGTCTATAGAAGCTATGGCAACCAACTAAGCGACCAGAAGAAATTTCAAGAATAATGCAGACCTTTCTGAGAAAAAGTTAACTAACTTAAGAACAGAGTTTTGAGCACTGATCAGCATTTGCTGAATAAATTCATAAAACATAGGCGTGTCTGATAAAGCTATGAAGTCTGTGGCTGTCAGAGTCCAAATGCAGCATTCTGCTCAATGCCAACATTATCCATTCCATTAGACTTACATACACAAGGTGTGTGCACAGCCAGGTGCTCAGCGAGGCTACAGAGGGTATGTAGAAAAGGCAAACAGGATCCCTGCCTTCAAGCAGCTGATCATCAATTTAGGAAATCAATGTATACATGAGCTGTTCACAAACTGAAGGGAGAGGAGCCCCACATGGCATTTTATGATTAAATGACAGAAGAAACTAGTAGAGGCAACAGGAGAAAATTCAAGTTCAAAAGTAGAACTGATTGTAGGCCAAGTTACTCAGGAAAGAAGCCAGACAGCATAGGACTTCAAATCAGACCTCAGAGCACAGGTGTGTGTATATATATATATATATATATACACACACACACATATATATATACACACACATATACATATACATATACACATACATACATACATACATGAACAGGTGGGAGAATGCCTGAGGGTCTACAAGGATGCATCTGTCACACCCTCAAGAACAGGGAGACAAGCCTAGCAAGAGCTGTACATACAGACTGAAACAAGTCCAAGTCCATTGCTGGAAAAGGGGTTCTGATTCAGGGTGACACTGAAGGCAACTGATTGGCCCACAGGGTTTTCAAGGCTGTAAACCCTCACAGGAGCGGACGGCCACATCTTTCCAAAAGCAGGAAGGGTGGGAACCTGCGACTTCTCAGTTAGCAGTCATGCTCGATCCTCACAGCAACACCAGGGCATCCACACGAGTAAGTGATAGAAAATCCAGACTGGAGACGAAGGTTGCAACCAGATTATGGGAACATTCCAAATGAGAAGTCTTTTCTTATATATGTGGATGAGAGAGCCATTTAGGGTCTCCTACTCTCGTACAATCACGGTCTCTGACACCCCTGGGGCAGTTCTACTTGTCTTACAGGGTCACTGTGAGTTGGAATCGCCTCAGTGGCACAGGGAATAGTAGGAGAACAGCGCAATGAAAACGGTGTCTCTGAGGCGCCGAAGGGATCAGTCATCAGGCATCAAAGAAAAAAAATCATATCACTGTGCGCTCA